GCTCTGCCCGCCTTCCGCTGCTTGAGGGTCATGGCGAGGCGCCGGGACAGCGCCCGCTCCGCTCCCCGCGAAAACTTTCCTGCCGCAGCCGCGAGAAAGCTGCCTGGCAACCGCGCGCGGATTGGCTGCGGCGCGGGCACTGCGGCCAATGAAAAAAAGGCGCTTGGGCGGGCCGAGCAGGCAGGTGAGAGCCGCTGCCGGCAGCAGAGAGGGCGGGGCCGGGCAATGGCGAGGGCTTGGTTGCGGCTCCAGAAAGGGGGCAGCTGTGGGGCTGGCCTGGAGAGGGGCGAGAGCAGGGGGCGCACACCAGGAAGCTTTCCCCCTTTGCCGTCTCACTGACCTCCTGCCACACTTTTAGCGTCTCTCGTTCCTTGGAGTCGCAGACCAGCAGACTCCCGGTGCCTGAAGAAGGGCGGTTGCACCCCAAAGTTTGCCAAGAACTTTATTCCGACGACTCCATTGATCTAATGAAAGAGATCGCATCTACGCAAGAAACCGTGCCTGCCCGGGGCCTTAGACCGACACGGCGACAACCAGAAACCCTAGAGCAAAGAGTGGGATCTGAGCACAAGCACCAAAAGCTTGCAGAGGTGACTGCAGCGCTGTGCTGTCCTAAACCCACGTCCAGGCAACTGAGCACATGGTGGGATGGCCAGAGGGCGGAAGCACCTGCAAAGCCTGCTGGTTGCAGTAATGACCCCCCTGCTTGTCCAGTTGCGTTCACTGAGGTCAGGTAGCAAGTAACTTGGCCATCCATCTTGACGAACCTTTGCATGCAGATCTTATTGACCTCATCTCCTTTCAGGGCATACTTGAGTCTGTTCCTTTAGGAGAATAAGGAGTGGAAGGCACTCTCTTCACTTGTGAGGACCTGCTGATGGACGGAAAGCCTGCAAAGTGAAAGAAAATAAATTTATTTCAGCTATTCTATCATGGAAGACAAATGCTCCTTTCAAAACAGACAACCACGTTTAATACCTTGTAGGCAAGACTTGCCATTGGTTTCCTATTTCAAGAATTTTGAGTTCCACTACCTGACGCAGCTCTGCCCCTTACATCCCATTGAGAGCACTGCAGTGGGGGCATGGTCGCTAACCATCCCTATGTCTGCAGGCAGGATGCAAGGAGTGCTTAGCTTTGCCTTTTGCTTCCTTCCTACTTTATCACTTCACCAACATCTACAGGATGACCAAACTGCAGTTGTTTGCATACCGTTTTCTTAACGTTTGTTTCAAAGCACATGGCGAGAACATTAAACTCACTCTCCTACCTGCCAGGGACCACGAGCATGACACCCACAAGCCCATCCATTTCTTCAGGTGGCTGGTTGAAAAGGAGAATGAGCAGGAGGATTTGACATGAGGTGGAGTTCAGCAAAAGAAAGCTGCTGTTATGCACCAAGTTGTGTAAACGCCTAACGTTGCTGCACCCCACAAATTCATGCTCAAATGTGCAAAGTGAATGAACCTCCAGGCCTTAAAGATTTCAGCTTCTTCGCCTGCCACACCTTAGCTGTTCCAGTATCTTTGTATCCTAGGAGGCTGCCTTCAGAAACAGAGTTAGGCCTTGCGTGCCTGCTCTTCCCTGATCATAACAAGGCTGCCAGTCTTCCCTGGTCTTTTGCCCTCACCTCAGTGGGCTCCAGGCCCTCCCGTTCAGCTCTATGGGCTTCGTGCCATTCTTCTATGCCTCGTCAGGGCCCTTCTGGGTGTCAGGCCTAGTCCTTTAGGGTTTCAGGCCCTTTCTCTTTGTTTTCCTGGGCTCTGGGTCCTCTCATGCAGCCCTTCAGACTTCAGACCCTCTCCCTCTCCTTGCCCTCCTGGGCTCTAGGCCTGCCTACACAGCCTTCTGGCTTCAAGGTCACACTCCCTCTTAGCCTTCCTGGGCTCTGGGCCCTCTCACTCAGTCCTTTTGAACTGCAGGCCCTTTCTCCATGTCCTTTGGACTGCACCTGTCTCCACTCCCCAAACAATGGCAGAGCCTCCAGGTGCTCCCTGCTGCCTCTCAACCTCCCCTCATAGCTGCTCCCAGTCCTCCAATTTTACACAATAATCACAATTAAACATCCAGCATAAAGAACTTCAGGACATGGTGATGCTGAACTGCCCTCAGCCCCTGTAGTCTGGAGCTCCTGCACAAGGCAGGCCAGAGCCAAACTGAAGCCTCAGCCTGGGTCCTGCTCTTATAAAGCCCATAGCCATTCTTTTGGGCATGAGAAGCTGAAAACATAGGCAACAAGATCTAGCACCTTGCTAAACAAATCTGTAGAAACTTTTAAGAAGGACCTATGCAAACAATATGTGGACTTCAAATTAACTTAGTGAGAAAATGAAAACTGGGGCAATAAAGACCTTGGAAGATGTGGTCACCTACATACTACAACAGGAACAATTTAGTGAACTGTCATTACTTCTTGACATCTGTGCAGCTTTTCAGGCATCTAGTGAAGATTGTGAGAGAGGGTTTAGCCTCATGAACGCAATAAAAACAAAGTCTAGAAATCATTTAGAAGGTGATAATCTGGACAAGCTGATGCAAATTAGACTTCATTTACCCTCGGAAAAACTGTTAAACTGGACACTGTATATTCTGTTTGGAAAACAGAAAAAGGTAGACAGGAGTCACTCTGGTAAATAAATTTTATAGTATCATCTTTTGTTGTATACTGTGTTATACTGTGGGGCAGACCAAAGCAGCACATGCCGAAAGGGGAAGGTAGGACCAATTCGGGAAGAGACTGAAGCAGCGAGCTCACAGACCGAAGCAGCACCCTCATGGATTGCTACACCTTAGAGGAAACATCGCTTGTAATATAAGTGACCGTGTTTGTGCTAAAGCTTTGTGCGGGAGGTTGGCTTGTTGTGTTGCTGACCTATTGCTGGTTCGATAGGAAGCTAGGAGAGACACCTGCTCACCTTAAGAAGAAAACACTGCTGAAGAAACAGTCTCTACAAGGACCGAGGAAGGGAATCTCCAGATAAGCACCAGCAGAGCTACGGGCCAGGGCAAAGCCAGCCACAGTACATGAGCTGAAAGTGAACTAACCTAAAGAGGGTTGAGCACCTCCCTTTTTGTCTTTGTGTTTTGCAGGATGCAAACCACCACTGAAACATCAAACCGTTTGCATTCCCTTTTGGTCCAGTTTACACAAAAACGAGGGAAGTCCCGTGGGTGCTGAGCTGACATGGCTGCAGTGGGTCGGCTCTGTTCTTTCACTTAGTGAGATATCAAAAGTACATTGAAAATGGAGGCATCACAAGAGTAACTAGACTCACCTTCCTAAAACACTGTCCAGCCCACTGTTTCCCTTCCATCCATGTTTCCACCTTCTCACTCCCTTCCAGTTCTTCTGCTTCTTCCTTTTTCCACCTCTTTCAGCTGCTGCTGCTCTAAAAGGAGACAATGCACAACACCCAATCTTTGAACAGTCTAGCACTCAGGAGTCCCCTCCTCTTACCTGCTGAGAGTGCTCAGTTTTCATGTCACAGACTTTCCAAGCCTACCTCCCTCTTCAGCCCGTGGCAGAGCAGTGGGATCATTCATGGGATGACAGTGGGGGAACACTTTACTTAAGTGCTAGTGCCATCCATAGGTGGTAGCTGCATATTTTGTGATTGTAGTGGGCTTTTTGAATAACAAGCAGGACACTCTACAGGAATATCACCTGGGCCTGAAACACAGCAGCTCACATCTTAGAAGCAATGAGGTTTCTCAAATGCCTTTGTCAAGCGGAGCTCCAGGCCAAGCAGTATTTTCAAAGATCTATCACTAGCATTTAGACCCCTTAAAAATCATAGCATCATAGAAAATGAGGGTTGGAAGGGAGCTCAGGAGGTCACATCTAGTTCAACCCCCTGCTCAAAGCAGGACCAGCCCCAACTAGACCATCCCAGCCCAGGCTTTGTCTAGGCAAGTCTTAAAAACCTCCAAGGATGGAGACTCCACAACCTCTCTGGGTAACCTGTTCCATTGTTTTACTACACTCCCAGCAAGTAAGTTTTTCCTAATATCTAACATAAACTTCCCTTGCTGCAATTTGAGACCATCCCTCCTTGTTCCGTCATCCGCCACCACTGAGAAAGTCCAGCTCCATCCTCTTTTGATACCCCTTCAGGTATTTGAAGGCTGCTATTAAATCTCCTCTCGGTCTTCTCTTCTCCAAACTAAATAATCCCAGTTCCCTCAGCCTCTCCTCATAAATCATGTGTCCAGCCCCTAACCATTTTGGTTACCATTCACTAGACTCTCTCCAATTTGTCCACATCCTTTCTGTAGTGGGGGCCCAAAACTGGACACAGTACACCAGATGTGGGCACACCAGTGCTGAATAGAGGGGAATAATGACCTCCCTTGACCTGCTGCCAATGCTCCTACTAATGCAGCCCAGTACACTGTTAGCCTCCTTGGCAACAAGGGCACACTGTTGGCTCAAATTCAGCTTACTCAAAACAAGGGCGCACTGTTGGCTCAAATTCAGCTTACTCTTTCTTATAAATTTTTTAAAAAAAATTTGGGTTCTGCCCCCCCTGGATGGCAGTCAGCTTTCCGGGGCCAACCGAGGCTCCACAGCATTGTGGCATTGTTACATTTAGAGGGGATTCTGACTCAGAGGCATTCAGTCAATCCCACAGATGATAGCTTCATCCCATTGGCTCCACAGCCAAGCACATGCACCAAATGTCTGAACCTGCAGTTCCTCTCATACTGAGCAGGATTGCATTGCAACAACACATCAGCAGTAGGGTAAAACTATCCTGTCTCACAATGGTCTAAGTAAAAGAGGTTCAGTAAGGAAAGGCCATCAGGCTATTTCAAATACCTGTGATGCATGGATCAGGGCCACTGCACAGGGATTAACTTCAGCCTGGCATCTGCAACCCACTCAAGCAA